AAGCTAGAAATGAAGCAGATAATTCGGATCTACAAGCTTCTCCTTGAACCACTACCTTGCTCCAACCTTCTCTTCCTTGAAAATGAGACAAAACACACCAAAATGCACTCAAAAGACCTTCCAAGTTCAAGAACACTTAACAATGGGGTTAGGGTTTCGTGGAGGCTGTTTAGGGACAAGAGGGAGGCTGATAAAGAAGATCCTTAGGTCATAATGTTCTTTAAATAGTGCTCAAACCCTAAATATTAGGGTTTTGGGGACTGGACACGTGTGTTGCGCGTACGTGCATGGCACCCGCGATCAATCTTCATCAGTACGCCCAGCGTACATAGGGTGGTACCCCCCGCTTAATGCACCCCTAAGCCCAATAAGAAAGGATCCAATGGTTCAAGGTCCAAATCATAACAATTAATTAACCCTAAATATTATAAATACCTTGGAAAATATCGAGCGTTACCCCCCCCCCCCCCCCGGTGGAAGTACCCTGATTATTATTTTGATATTTATTCCATTTTTTTTCTGTTTTCGGGTTGAGCATGGACATAAAATAGAGTTGATTGTGTGGAATTGCCCAAGTTGGTGGTGGAGTCAGAGTTTTCTTCATATGACTCATGGAGAATGAGCATATTCTTGGCTTCCAAAAAAGACGGGAACAGTTTTGTATTGTTGATCACATCCATGATGCTATGATAAGAAGGTGGTAATTGTCTCAAAATTTACATCACTAGTTCAATCTCATTGATGGTGGAGTCAACATCGGCAAGAGTTGTGGCTATGTTTTTAAGAGCATGACAGAACTTCGTAATAGATGAGGCACCTTTCTTGGTATTTCGAAATTGATCTTAAATTTGAAGCATCTTGGACATTTTTTATTCAAAAATATCATCTAGCTTGTACGATAGGTCCTTTGTTGTACGGTTATCGTTGGAAATTATCTACAATAAATTCGGGTCTGTGATAGAATAAAACCACGAATTAAAACGTGAGTCTATAGACTCCCAATCCTCGTCTTCATCGCCAGAGGGTTTGGATTTTCCATTGAAGTGGCCACTAACCTTTTCTCCTTTACAAATGTCAAGAAATATGTGTCGCCAAAGCTTGCATTTTGACCCATCAACAATTAGTTTGAAACTGAATTATTGGTATATGTTTCTAACAGCGTAAACTAATGATATGAAACCGGTAAGGAGCTCGAGGACCCAACAGGAGTTTACATGGACCCATAAACAAAAAAACTTATGAAATAAAAGACAAAACAAATATCACAAAAACTAACTGCGGGTAGAAGGATTGTAGCCTCAGTACTAGACTAAAGGATCACCGATGGAGTAGCGGAAGGCGGAGATCAAGGTCAGCGGCAGGTAAACCGATCAAGGGAAGCAACAACGTATGAGGCTACACTCGAAGGGCATTATATTCATGTAGACAACAATGTTGGCGTCCAACTTGAAATAAATAACCATGACCCAAACATCAATTTAGTTGCTAATACATATGAATGCATGGATGATATTGATGTTGAATATGGTGGTAATGAGAGTTGGCATGGTACTGATGATGAGAGTGACAATTAAAATGAAGTCCATGATTTACTTCTTGATGATTAAGTAGTTGTGGAAGATCTTAATGTGGACTTGTGTAATTTTTGCAGTTTTGTTGAGGAAATATTAAATGAAATGAACAACATGGGTGATGGTGAGATGCAATAAGAGATTGAGGAAGACCATGCTAAGGTATCAGATCCTAATGTGTTTGAAACTAAAGGAGAAGAGACAGAGAAAAGAATGAGGATGATTAAAAGGCTTCTAAAAAAACTGCTATTTAGGTTACTTGCATGAAAACCATTTGAGATTGTTCAATGACAAGGTAGTGTTGCAAATGTTAGTAGACAATCATGTTGTTGAAACAACAAGAAACTTATATATAGCTAAAAATTATAATGTGAGAGTGAGAATTAAGTGCAAGGATTAGCTCCACAAAGCGATGGGAGTAGACCACCAATAGGAAAAAGAAGTAAATGCTAAGGGGAAAAGGAAAATCGAAGGAAGCAAGTTGCCCTTGGGTACTTCTTGTTTCTAGAATTGAAGTTATAACAAACCCACAATTGTCTTAGAAGCTTTTCCATTAGAACAATCGCAGATCTTCCACAAAAACACAGAACCATGTTTTTTAGAAATTTGAGAGAATTTTAGGAAAAAGAGAAGAATTCGTTGGTGGAAGAACTTGAGATCACCTAATTTATCGTTAGAAATGTGGAATGACAAAATTGAACCTCATTGCATGTGGTCAACTAAGTCTAAAAGTGGACTGTGTTGGCCAAAAGGACCAGACGAGCAAGTTTTTGAATCCATGGAACCAAACACATGGGCGTTTTAATAGTTGTCCTGACTACATCTGTTTTGAAAAACCGCATATGACCAATCCCATAATTTTATCTATATTAAATAAAGTTGGTTTAATACCCAAGGGATATCTATATATGTAAAATTTGTATATATTCTTTGTAAAAACGTTATCTGTGGATTCTACAAGTGTTATTCAAAGCTTATATGTGACGTTTATTTGGTTCTGGAGTACTAATATATTATTAAACCATCATAAAAAAGATTACATGTTTAGAAATAAATTATTAATTTAGTTAGTTTGACTTTAAAATAATATTCTTTCATTAAAAAACACATTGTAATCAACAAAAACAAACAACTAAAAAGAGCCACCCATTGGAAGATCTAATAGCCAACTTCCTTAATCCGTTACATCATGCATAAAAGCCAAAAATCGATCCACGACAACGGGGGCCAGATACTAACATTACCAAATACACCCTGTTAATCATATATATTTAAGACAAAATTACAAAAATGGTCCCTATGGTTTGCCAAAAGTCACAAAGTCAGTCCCTACTAATTTTTTTTGACGAACATGGTCCCTGTGGTTTCAAAAACTTGCATCAATGACCCTTTTTGCTGACGCTGTTACTGTTCATCCGTTAGTGTAAGGGTATTTTGATCTTTTCAAGTAGCAGGGACTAGGTTTGTGACTATGGGTAAACCATAGGGACCATTTATGTATTTTTTTCTATATTTTATGTTTATGAGTTTGTGACTTTTCCACCCATTTACTTTTTAAAATATCACTTTGAACCCTTTACTTTGAACTTTGAAAAATATTACTTTCACCCTTCTATTTTCTAAATTTTCGTGTTTAACCCCGTATTATATATAATTTGTTTTTTATTAATAACTTTCGTTCTCTAACCTAAAAAAACTATTTTTACGTGTTTATTTTCATATATTTGTCGGTATAATTCAAGGTGATCAACGTTTCGACTATAATTTAGAATTTTCTTTCGTTATTTTTTTTAAAGTTACATGGTTTTTTTTATAAAATTGTCGGTTTAAATTCGAGCTTATTTTTCGACGTAGTTTTTTTTTTTAACTTTATATACATTTCCTACGTATGAGATGGGTCATATATAATAACTTTCGTTTGTTAATTTTAAAAAATATATTATATTTGAGATTGTCTATGTTTTGATGTATTTTTTATACATTTTGTGCTTAATTTTATATACATTCCTACGTATCATTCGGGTCATATATAATAACTTTCGTTTGTTAGCTTAAAAAATGTAGTATATTCGAGTTTGTCTATGTTTCGACCTAACTTTTGTTTCATGTTTTTTACGTATCAATATAGATTCGAGTTCGTCTATATTTCGACGTAATTTTTTTTTATGTTTCGTGCTTATTTTTATGTACGCGTTTTTTTTCATTCATGTTTTTTACGTCGAAATGCAACTTTTATGACTATAATCACCAAAATTCAACTTACAAAATTCAAGCTTATAATTACGCTTTTATCTATAAGTTTGTTCACATATAATAGATAAAAGCGTAATTATAAGCTTGAATTTTGTAAGTTGAATTTTGGTGATTATAGTCATAAAAGTTGCATTTCGACGTAAAAAAACATGAATGAAAAAAAACGCGTACATAAAAATAAGCACGAAACATAAAAAAAATTACGTCGAAATATAGACGAACTCGAATCTATATTGATACGTAAAAAACATGAAACAAAAGTTAGGTCGAAACATAGACAAACTCGAATATACTACATTTTTTTAAGCTAACAAACGAAAGTTATTATATATGACCCGAATGATACGTAGGAATGTATATAAAATTAAGCACAAAATGTATAAAAAATACATCAAAACATAGACAATCTCGAATATAATATATTTTTTAAAATTAACAAACGAAAGTTATTATATATAACTCGTCTCATACGTAGGAAACGTACATAAAGTTAAAAAAAAAACTACGTCGAAAAATAAGCTCGAATTTAAACCGACAATTTTATAAAAAAAAACCATGTAACTTTAAAAAAAATAACAAAAGAAAGTTCTAAATTATAGTCGAAACGTTGATCACCTTGAATTATACCGACAAATATATGAAAATAAACACGTAAAAATAGTTTTTTTAGGTTAGAGAACGAAAGTTATTAATAAAAAACAAATTATATATAATACGGGGTTAAACACGAAAATTTAGAAAATAGAGGGGTGAAAGTAACATTTTTCAAAGTTCAAAGTGAAGGGTTCAAAGTGATATTTTAAAAAGTAAATGGGTGGAAAAGTCACAAACTCATAAACATAAAATATAGAAAAAAATACATAAATGGTCCCTATGGTTTATCCATAGTCACAAACCCAGTCCCTACTACTTGAAAAGACCAAAATACCCTTACACTAACGGATGAACAGTAACGGCGTCAGCAAAAAGGGCCATTGATGCAAGTTTTGGAAACCACAGGGACCATGTTCGTCAAAAAAATTAGCAGGGACTGACTTTGTGACTTTTAACAAACCATAAGGACCATTTTTGTAATTTTGTCTATATTTAAATAACATAAGCTTGTTTCTTTTTGAAACCAAGGATTGATAAGATAATCAAAATAATGATGACTCATACATGATATGATATTTTACTTTTTCCTTTGTTTATATTTTATCGATAACAGTATGAATAAAGACAAAAAGAAAGCTTTTTCCCATAACTCATAGATAATCCATAGGAAGATCCCAGTGTTCTTCATCATCAACAATGGGTCTTTTCCGGGGTTTCTGGGTTTGACCACTAGACCTTCTTCTCCTGTCCTTTCGGTATTCAGATTGCCCTTCAAAATCCGAGTAATCATCAAGATCTTCCATTGAGTACCCCACTCTCTGGCCACCCCAAAACCCCTAAATTCATCAAGATTTTCATGTTAAAAATCCCAAATTATGAAAAAAAAAAAATACCATGGTTTGCTATAAAATGATTGATATTCAACAAACTGTATGACCCCGTTTTTGAACAGGAAAAGACAGAACAGAACATGACTGTAAGATCCCGTTTGTTAAACAAAACAAGACATGGCATGCAGTGGCGAATCTAGAACAAAATATAACGTGGTTCCCAAATTAAGTGAAGCCGATAAAAAAATCAACAACACTTGTGAGAGGTCGGGTCGGGCCGTGTACGATTTAATGAAATATAACTGAAAAAACCGATCAGCCACCACCAATTAAAAATTTTAAAACAACCGACTGAAATATAATTGAAAAAACCGAAGGATTTAATAAAAAATTAGTTGATTATTAGTGCATTGATACCTTATTGTTTGATAAAAAAACTATATATTATATTTAACCCTATATATTTAACAGCACAAATGCCCCATATAACTTATTTTTTGCCCCCTTTAAAATGATTTTTCAATACATTTTTTAGAAAAACAAACTCAAGGTAGGTCCTCTATTTTTTCTAAGGTAGTTCCTAATTTTTGTGGTATATATATTATAAATGAAATTCAAATTTTAGGTAGGTCCTAGGACCTACCTTCTTGTATGGTAGATACGCCCTTGATGGCATGACATGACATGACATGTTAAACATGACATGACATGACATGACAGAACATGACATGTTGTATTACATTTACCTTAGTAAGCCGTTGTATGCATGACGCTGCAGCTTCATGCACCACGACTGTATCGGATACAACTTCAAGTACATCTTCGACCAGCATCGCGTAGGTGCTTACCTGTTATAAATCGCACTCTAATTTTCCCATCAAAAGTGAAAAAAGGGCAAATACGTAATTTCAACTATGTGAGAGAGGCCGCCATCTACTTACCAAACTTGATGGGATGATGGATATTCCAAAATGAATCGAGCTCAAGTGATTCTATTGCCCCCGAGTTTATGTTAAAAGTATACCCTCGCACCTAAATACATGGAATTAAAGTATTGGTATTAAAAAGAATTATTCATATTGTTAAAAAAATGAAATAAAGAATTGATGATGATCCTTGGGATAAAAGGCTTACCTTTCCAATATCTCGTCCATTTGGTGTCACAACATTATATCCTACCTAAGGAAAAGCAACTTATCAGGGGTAGAATCGTAATACTACTTCCTATTCCAAAGAATTAATTATTAATTTTAGTTTTAAAAAATTAATAATTGATTTTAGTAAAAATAATGAGGGTAAGCATACTACCAGTGTTTCTAGTCCAACCATTTGAAACTCATTGTCCATCACAGTCTCATCCTCGACTAGCACAACATCACCAACCTGTTCACATGATTTACACAAACAACTGAATTTTCTTATAACTTTTGTTCATGTGATTGGACATTTTTGCCCCTAAAAGAACGATAACAATGATGTGTAACAAATGTTTTTAAAAAGTTAAATGGGTTAGATTAGACGAATGAAAAACTGCTTACCTGCCTTGTATCCTCCAAAAAGAATCTTTCTTGTTCTCCAGAGAGTAGATTTGGTCTCACTTCTACGATCACTACCATCCACTATGAAGGAAATAATATTACTTTTGTACCAAAGATATATTTAAAAAACAATATAAATATTAAATACATGAACAAAAGCATCTTGAAATGTTAGTTTGATGTACATGGACATATTTGATGAGCTGTAAAGGTTGGCATTGACTACAATGGAACTACTCAAGTGGTTCAGAATGCTAGTTGCTATGTATCTATAGGGTTTTAAGTGAAAGGCTTCTTGTATAGAAACCCTGGACATGGCTTTCAGGATAATAAGCAAACTGTTTTGGTTATATTCTAGAAGATAGTATATGAAATAGCTTCGCAAAAAACCCAGTAATTACATGAAACCATAATTAGGTGTAGTTTAACAGTTATGAAAAATAGCATATAGTTTGAAAGCTGAAAAGGGGTTTGACTCACAGTATTAGTATCTACCCAAAGCTGTGAAATGAACCCCAAACTAAGAGCAGATTGGATGCTTATCACTTGTTTTGCAATTACACTTGACCTTTTCATCAACTGTTTCCCTTTCCTTATAACCTTCACCTGATTGTTGTTATCAACCTCTAATTCTTTCGATTTCACATCGACAGCATCTTCTGTCTCTCCAATTTGGACCAAATCCTCTTGTTCTCCTTCATTCTCTCTCAAATTCGTATCAAATGGAAAAGAATCGCTGTCTTCGTCGTCAATTCCACTCAACTGGAACCCAGGTTTTGTTGATTTTCTCTCTTTAAACTTCAATTCCTCGATAAGTTGATGTTCTGATGATCTTGAGCTCGAAGGATTTGAACTTTGACTGATCTTTAAAGAAAAATTCGTGGGCTTTTTTCTGTCACAAGCAAATGAACCCAAAAGGGAGATTGTATGAACTGAAGATGGAGGGAAGCTGATGCGATAGTACGGAGAGAGAGAACACGAAGTGCAATCACACATGGTGATGACTCCAAAGTTGTATTTTTGTTGGTGATCTTTCCTTGTTTCTTTGGATGAGACGAGTTGAAACTTGAAAAGAAATAAAAATGACAAACGAGCCATGGTTAGGGCTTGTGGATTATGATTTATTGTACATTTTAAACATTATTTTTTTTATTTTTGGATAATGACAATCAAAATTGGTGGATGATGAGATACTCATCTTTTTTATACGAGGAAAATATCAATGTAGCTCGTTAATATTTGTTTTTTTTGTTGGATTAGGTATTTATTATTATTTTCTTTTTTTAAAGGGTGTTTGGATAAATTAGCTTATAGCTTGTTAGCTTATGGCTTATTACCTTATAGCGTGAGAGAAAGCAGTTTTTTTTTAAGTGTTTGGATTAGAAATAAGCAATAAGCTATAAGCACGGGGATGTTTACTAAAATTAGTTTATTCCCACCACAATAAGCTGATTTTTAGTGTTTTCTATTCAAACACTTAAACTTAGCATATAGTGGTAGGGATAAGCAATAAGCTATAAACACCCTCTTTTTGCCCTATCCAAACACCCTCTTAAGTAATAGGTCACTTAAGTTTTAATTGACCTTTTAAATAGGGTATTGAGACCCAGTTGAGCGGTTTAAGAGGTAAGTTTTAGCTTACGTGGATATTAGTGGTTGACATGGCGGACACCTCATCGCTACCTGTGTACGACGCATTGGTTCCATCTATAAGGTTATTACCTTATATTGATCGGATCGTCATTCATTATTCCCTTATTGAGCTACAAAAAAAAATCCCTAACTACAATACATCAATGTCTTCATTTTCTTATTCGCATCAGCCATTGCAACGATTAAGGAATGTACCACATCAAGGAGAAGTTAGGAGATGCTATTGTAACTTAATCGCCATGGAACGAGGATCGTAGAGCTGGGAGAACGTCGCTTTTGGAACTATCATATCTCATTGGTAAGGTTCCGATTTAACATACATTAGTTGAAAATATGATGTATTTAGGGTAGGAAATGTGATTTTCTTTGATAAAAACCCTAAATTTTCGTTATCCAAAACCCTAATTCGATAAACTGAAAATGTTGTTGGTTTTCCTTTGCATAACTATACCTCATCAACCCTAATGTTTAGTAATGTGTATTTGAATGTTAGAAAATGAGCAACAAGTGTCGTTACTTTGAATGGAAGGATAACGAGCTAGAGGATAGTTATTATAAGGAACTTTTATATCACACCAAGCAAAAGCTAACACAAGAAAGAGGATAACAGTGAGATGGTAATGTGTAGAAAGAAACTTACAGAGTTACAGGGTGTTCATGACAAAAATACGGGTTGCAGGCTGTGATTGAGATGAATTTAGTCAATATGGTTGTTATGTGGAGGACAATAAGTTGGCAGAGGTTGATTATGATGATCTTGATAAGAATGTTGGTGGGTTTTGTGTTGAAGATACATGGCAAGGGTTTTTGAAGGTTTTTATATATGGTTGATGGTATTAAATTTCAACCAAGTTTTTGGGAGAAGGGTTAGTTGTTAAAAAATCATTTGTATGTGTGTATGGTAGTTTTATGGCAGTGAATAACAGTTATGTAGGTTTGTTTATAATGTATGTAAATGTTATTGGGTTTTTTAGGTTACAATAACAATGTACTTGCGGAATTTCACATAAACACTTATGGGAACATGCAACCTAAAAGGATCTATGGCTTTTCACTATTAATAGCAACATACTTTATGAAACAAAACTAGAACCCTATGATTAATCGATAATCATAGATGAATGAAATACCTCTTTGCTTAAATCGAATTAAGAAATCAAACCCTTGAAGATCTTATTAGAAAACCTAGGTCCAATTGTGTGGTACCCTCTAATGTGTCACCCCCTAAACCCTAGGAAACCCGAGGATCGAATATAAGAGAAATGGGGAGAGGAAATTTCGATTTATATATGAAAGGAGGGGGGATAGGATTCATACCACAATACAAACCTTTGCATTCCAAAAATGAATCCAAACAACTCTCAATTTACCGATCGTAGCAAATCGTGTGCAAATTTTCGTCTATTGGAGCCATCCATTTACCAACCACAAATTGATCTGTCTACGATTTCTCCCAACCCCAACAATTTTACTACCAACAAATATCACAACAATATTACACGATGCAGCCTCTTAACCCAACCATGTTTTAAAAATTCCCCTCCCCCCTCCCTGAATACGATCCCAAACCGGAAGTCAAACTTGTCCGGGAAACCCAACCCGATCTCGAACCAGTACCCGAGTCTGAACCCCAAATTATTTTGGAAACCCAACCCGAACCATATAACCCGAAAAGACGAGGAAATGAAAAGCGTCGATTTGAAAATAGAAGATGACGTCTCAACAATGGCAACCAAGCGAAGAGATGGTTTTAGCGCAATCATGGGTCGACATTTCGGAGGATTCCAAAATCGGAAATGGCAAAAAGATGACCATTTTTGGTGACGCATTATGCAACGATTTCTTAAATTTATGGGTCGTAGCGATTACCGCACTACAGACCAATGTACAAGCAAGTTTTGCGAGATGAACAAATATGTCACAAAATTAAACGGTATTTACAACAATTTGGTAACCCAACGGAAAAGCGAGGAAGACGATGAACAAATTTTAAAGACGACCCTTAAAAAATTTCTTGTTGATAATAATAAGAAGTCGTTCAAGTTTCTCGATGTTTAGAGGTTTTTATCTGCATCCCCGAAATGGGTAGAAGATTTTGGTAGCAAAGAAGGTGGTTAAAAAGTAATTAAAGTTTTCGAGACGAGTTTCACTACTTCATCAGATGCACATTTTTGGGGTTGATTTGAATGAAGTGGATGAGCTCAAGTTTGAAGAGGTAGTTTGACCGATGGGTCGAGATAAAGTGAAAAAGAGAGGCTCTTCGTCAAATACATCGGGAACGGGAAGAGGAGATGACATTCACAAAAGCTAATAATTTCGAAAATTATAATTTGAATTTGAAAATCGTTTGAATTTTGAAAATGAGAAGTTGGAGGAGAAAAAGAAAGCTAGAGATGAGAAGCAAAGAAGTCGAGATATGAAATTGTTAACAAAACCCTCCAATCGCCTCACCGGGAACGAGCTTGATATATTTTGAGAGCTACACCGGACATCATGAAACAATATTACAATTAATGTTTTTATTTAAAATTGTCGTTTTTATGTAATATTTTTATTTAATTATCGTTTTCTTATTTTATGTAATCAATTTTAATTAAAGATAAATTAAATATTCTCCCACATTTTCTTCCTACTCATCCTCCTACCATATCAAATGTTGACACATGTCGCATTTAATGACACATTTAATGAAATTAATAGTATTTTAATCTACTTGTCAACATTTGATATGGTAGGAGAATGAGTAGGAAGAAAATGTAAGAAGATATTTAATTTCTTTTAATTAAATTAGTGAAGTGTCTCACTTTTATTGATTTTATTAAATTGTACTATGTGCGAGATCCGTGTACTACACGGGTTTATTAATAATAAAAATTTAATATCAATATTTAAATATTAAATATTTTATAAAATAACATTTTTACATATCATAATGTAATCTTTTGGAACATTTATAAAAGAAAACAAATATTCTTTAAAGCATTTATGAGACTTTATTATCAAATTAATAGAATGATTATCTTTCCTTATAAAACTCGTTAGAAATTTATGGAATTTTATTTTTAAAAAATGGAAATTCCCAAAAAATGACAAGTAGAAAATAATAATTCTAAAACTCCCATAAAATTACATGTGGCAAAACTCTTGAGAATTTGACAAGTGACAAAAAAAAGCATTCGTTTATTAAAGAGAAAATTTTATTTAATTAAAAAAATAATAAAGTATCGTATGACATCCACAAATTTTATTAGGTGGAGGAAAAATAAAATGACAATTAGATATCAGTGTAAGAATATGGTATGATACGATATAACATCCCTAGTCTTATCCAAATTTATCAATATTTAGAACAAAATTAAAAAATACACACATGTTTTACGTTGGAGTTTTGTCTCAAAATTAAATGATCGATAAAAGATGTGTAATAATACAGGTGTCAATAATGACATGTGCTACGTCGGAGCCGCTCTAATACGCTTCTACACCCACAGCATCGCATCCGCTTTCCACAGTCCCCATCCTTGAGCGAATCCCACCTTCGGCCACTCCACCTGCGCCGCCACTCCAACGCCTTCCTCCACCACTGCCGCCACTCCAACGCCTTCCTCCACCGCCGCCTCCGGTAAGCTTTTCTTCTCCATCTCTGAAATCGATTTCCTTTGGGGGTGATTGAACATCGGTCAAAACAATAGCTTTTGATTTCCATTCACTGGTTTTTTACCGAATTCTGATGTTTGTCTGACATCATAGTTGCAACCTACCTATCTTATAACGCTTCTTGCTAAGTTCAATTTGATTCGCCTTTGTGCTCCTCGAAGATTGTTGGAGTTGTTGCCGTGAATTAGTAGCAATCGCTTCCTTTCTTCCAGGAATTAGTTTGTTATCTGTCGGTTTTTCAAAAGGAACTAGCATCCATTCTTATCCATCTCTGTTCATTTACTGCTTCACCAGATTGTGATGTTCGTACAACAGCATTGTTGCACCTACCTTTCTTAATTAAACTGCCGATTTTCATGTTTAATTAAACCCAAACTTCATGTTTTGTTGGAAAATGGTTGGACTTGTAGAAGAGACTTTGTAGCAATTTACTTGTCTTTCTTTTTGCACCAGTTTGTGTTGTCTGTAAATTATTTTCTGATTATATGTATCAGTGGTTTGATAACAGTCTAGCTTGACATGATCTGATTTTCTGATTTGTTTCTCTATTCTTATTGATTAGGTGAACTTTGTTTTTGGTGGTTTTCGTTTTATTAACTAATGCATTTTATACTCCCTAAAGGAAAATATGGATAATAGCTTTGGTGTATGGCATCAAATTGATATTTTCTCGTAGTATGTTGTGTGTTTTTATGGTAAAAAAATTCTGTTTCAAACTACAACACAATAATCCCTTCTTGAAAGTGAATGTTGTGTGTTAATCGACTATAAGACCTGTCATTTTTTTAGTTTAGAATGATTTCTGGCTAAAGACTTAAAATGGGTTTGGGAATTTCACATAGTCTTAGGGTAATTTGATGTATTGAAGTCAATTTTTGTTGTGGAAAGCAAGAATGGGCTAAAATAGTAATTGATTTATTGTCAATTTTAAGTTGGTAAAATGGTAATTCAGCGTAACATTAGAGGCCTAACCAAACATGTATTCATTCAGAAGGCCCGTGAATCATTTATAGGCTGCTAAACAGCCCCTTAGTTAGGTCGGTCTCATGGAGAGTATTAATAGGAGATTGATGTTAGGGAGTCAGTATCCTTGGACATATTCAATTAGAAATCGCATTTCTGGTAGAGTGTTGGTCTCTTGTAAGCCAAGATAATCTTGTAATCGTCTCTTTTGATTCAGTCATACATAAATTAGTCTATCATTTCTTGTAATTCTACCCTAGTTCTAATCAATTGGCATAATGGCATTAGAGTTGTCGTATCCACCATGGGAACTCAATCGATCAATAGTCGCATTGAAGAAATTCAAAGTGTGAACGCATCTTTGCAGGCGAATCAAACTCAATTTGATGCCAAACTGGAATCAATTGAAGGCAGTCTAAAAGCAAATTCTGAGAGATTTGAGAACAAATTCAAAGCAATTTAAGGAGGCTTACATGCTATTATTCAACAATTAGTGAGAATATCCAAGAATCCAGAAGATTCCGACAAGAATGTATCATAATTAGGTCAATCGAAGCCAGATTGAGTAAATCGGTACCAACCTGTTTCGATTTTCTCCATCTGGCGTTGATTGACTTAATTCCATTGTTTTCTTGCCGGAATCTTCTTGATTCTTAGACATTCTCGTTATTTGTTGCGTAATAGCACGTATGCTTCCTTCAATTATTTCGAATTTGTTCTTAAATCTCTCAGAATTCATTTTTAGACTGCCTTCGATTTATTCTAGTTTGGAATCAAATCGAGTTTGATTAGTTTGTAAAGATGTGTTTACACTTTCAATTTTTTCCGTGCCATTATTAATTGATCGAGCTCCCATGGTCGATCCGATCCGGCCGCTTTGATACCAATTGATAAGAGTTATGGTAGAATTGATAGACTAATTTTTGTATGACCGCAAAAGAGACGATTACAAGATTATCTTTGCTTACAAGAGACCAACACTCTACCAGATATCTAATTGAATACGTTCAAAGATACCATTCTCTAACATCAATCTCCTGTTAATACGGTGCACAAAACCAACCTAATTAAGAGAATGACCAAAATACCCCTCAATGTCTCCTTTATTACAGCTGTTGTACTTCTACTTATTTTCTACCTTTAAGACTACTATTAAGTGTAACAGAATCATATTCTATTTGTTCTTCCACATTAGTTGATGTTCCCAAAAAACGAATTTGAATTTAGATCTTATCATGTTATGTTTTATGCGACTATATTTTTTTATTTCGTCTAATATTTGATCTACAATTCATTTGAATTTGAAGTATTTTTTTCTGATTTGCACGTCAATTTGAATTGAAATCAAAACTGTTTCTTGTGATTCATATATAACTCCATCAGCCTATTTTGTTGGAACAACTTACAGGGAGATTGAAATGACAACAGCTGGTCCTAGCGATTCGCCTCTTGTTGCTCAAAGGTTCATACTAATCCTTAATATTTAAACTTTCATGTATACACTTTCATACTTTGCTCCTGTCATTCAAGTTAGACCGCATATAACTCTTTATTGATTTCTAATATTATGTTGTATATTAAATTGATATTTATTAACCATATGTATTTTATTTAATCACAAATATTAAGTTTAATAAAATAATATATATAAACTAATTGTAACATAAAGATGTACAACAAAATCGTAAAAATTATAGATATATGTAATGTTTTTTTAACGTGGATCGCTTAGATAGTGCGGTTTATCTTTTTTTTTTTAAGATATATCTAGTGTTTTGCATCAAATAATATCATTTTTCAGGTTACTAGGAAAAGTCGCTTTAGTAACCGGAGGTGCAACCGGTATCGGAGAGAGCATCGTGCGTCTTTTTCACAAACACGGTGCAAAAGTTTGTATAGTCGACATCAACTCCCACCTCGGCGAACACTTATCCAAATCCCTCGGTCCCACCACCCGTTTCATCCACGCTGACGTGGCAATTGAGGACGACATCTCCCGTGCAGTCGACTTCACAATCTCCAATTTCGGCACACTCGACATCATGGTCAACAACGCCGGTATGGGCGGGCCACCATGCCCCGACATACGTGAATTCCCCATTTCGACCTTCGAACAAGTCTTCAATGTCAACACCAAGGGCACGTTTATCGGGATGAAACACGCATCTAGGATCATGATCCCGTTGAAAAAAGGCTCGATTGTTAACATTGCCAGTGTCGCGAGTGTTATAGGAGGGGTGGGCCCGCATGCGTATACCGCGTCCAAACACGCGGTTGTGGGGTTGACGAAGAGTGTGGCGGCGGAGCTTGGGAAACATGGGATTCGTGTGAATTGTGTGTCGCCGTACGCGGTTTTGACAGACCTCGCGTTGGCACATCTTCATGAGGATGAACGGACGGATGATGCCAAGGCGGGGTTTCGGGCTTTTTCCGGGAAGAATGCTAATTTGCAGGGTGTCGAGTTGGTGCCTGATGACGTGGCGAATGCGGTGTTGTTTTTAGCGAGTGATGATGCGAGGTATGTAAGCGGGGATAATCTGTTTGTTGATGGGGGTTTCACGTGTACAAATCACTCGCTTCGTGTGTTTCGGTGATTTGTTTTTTTTTTGTTTTTTAACTTTGTTGTTGGATTTGTGTGGCTAAGATTTTCTTTGTTAAGTATAGTTATAACTCCCTTTTAACAATTGGTATTGATATGCATGTGCAAGTGTACCTAAAGACCAAATATTTCATTTTACGGTTTTTTGATAAAAAAGTCCAAAAAAAACTCAAAAGTTTAGAAAAAAATTAATGTTTTTTTTTTTTTTTTTTTTTGCTAAATCATTTATGTATGATAGAACAATTGATTTTCGTTAGGAGACACTTCTTTCAAAATAAAAACAAAAACAAAAACAAAAATCCAACAAACTACGTTTCAAAGCAATCTATGCCGTCAAACTCATTGATGTAACAAGTGTTTTATAGGTGTCGAGTTTCTGCATATATATGATCACAAGTGTTTCCATTAATTACTGCCATATGACACATGTTTGATGATGCATATCATGCCATACATGCATGTACTTTGGAACTTTAGTAAAATTAAATACCTTATTTATCTTTATATTTATCTAAAATAATAATACGTAGAATCTCATAATTTTTTTGAGAAATTAAATATTCTTGTATATTTTCTTCCTAACTATCTTTCTATTTATATTAAATAGTAAATAGTGACAAATGTATTAAAATATTAGTATTAATATTATTAAATATGATACATATCATCATTTAATATGGATTGGAGGATAAATATGAAGAAAATGTAAAAGAATATTTTTATTTTTTAATTCTCTCTCTTAATCATTTCTGTTGATTTTTACATTTGTCTTGACGTAGTGATTAGAATGGTGAATAGGACCAAAATACATGAGCATATTTGATTTGTCCAAAAGCTTCCCCCAAATCCCAATAGAAGAATACTATATTTTAAAATGTAAATCTTATCTTGTTTATATATAATAGAATATAGTAGTAATCGTTTTCAGAATATGAATATCGTACATTATGTCATACTCAGTGTGCTCAACTTTTAAATTAAAAGGATGTAGAAGAACCTAATTTCTTTTTATAATGAAAAATGAAATATTTAACTTGATATATTTAATTAAAATATCGAATTAATATAATAAATATAATGTATAGTTGTATACATTTGATATTAGTTATTAAATATATGAGTATTGACTACATGTCTACATTAATTTGTTATTTCACTTCTAAACCGTCCTATGTTATGATGGAAATCGAAAGGGTAAAACGCATATTTTAAAACACAACTTAAACAATGAAATAACTAATCTTATATAAAATCGAATATCAGAATCCCAAAAGAAAATCTTGAAACGCGATTTACTGATTATTACGTTAAAGATTTAAATTAAATCTTTAATTATGGAAACGTGTTTAGCGAGAATAACTGAAGATATATCTGCGTTTTATACGGATGATAATAAAAAGCGGCAACGCAAATATTTCGTGTCGATCTTCTTTTTCATCGAAGGACGAACAAGCCTCAAAATCAAAAAACCACCTTCCATAACTCTCTCCTCAACCCTCCCAAGGTACCCAATTCTTCTTCTTTTTTCTTCTTCTTCTTCATCTCTTTTGTAAATTTATACGATTTGAATTCTATAGTTTCTTGTATTAATACATTGAATAACATTAATATTCGAGTAGTATTTTTTTTTTCCTTTAATTTCTATAGAAAGAAACCCTCAATCTTATTTTTTTAAAACAATCATAGATTTACAAAATGCTGGTTTTCCCTTGTTCGATTTTATGATTGTTTAAGCTATTACGGGGAAATTTTATATTTGTTGGAATAAACAACTGATCATGTAATTGTTTTGTTTAAAATCCTAGTAGGTTTAATATAATAAACAACATCGTCAAAGTGGGAATGTTTTCTTGTTTATTGTGAGTTCTTCAAATATTTTGACCTTTGATCTTTTACCATAAGTTGTTTGATTGTTATTTTAGTACTTGCGTCCACAAGATTCTCTGTCTTGTGTTTATAGAATGATATTTAACGAGTTTCCAACATTCGCAAGATTCAGCGGTTTTCTTTCTAACTTGTCTCATAATTCATGCAAGCAGAACCGACAACAAGATCTTCATGAGTTCAAAAAACAGTCTGGCATTCAACGTTTCCTGTAAAACGGGAAACAAGAACGATATTCCAGCTTGCATTCTGTCAAACTTTTTCAAGAATCCCATTGTCAACTCGAAAATCCACCATGGTTTCCTCTCAATTAACCGTTTTAATGAAAAACGAACCTTGCAAATCATCCAAGAATAATTCACCATCACCTGTGAGTCCTCTGGATGTCAAGATTCCTTTGGATCATGTTGAATTCGACTTCTCCGATGTGTTTGGTCCTCTACCACCTCATGCTTCAAATGAACCTACTTATGAAGATTTTGAGAAACCAGATGTTATTTCACATTCTTTGGTGGGTCCCTCAGCCAGTTTGAGTAAGCTAACGATACATGAAAAGGATGATTTATATGATGATATCGTAGTAGATGAAGAAGCATCGGTTGATCATCATAAAGTCCAAAGTGTTGGGCTTGAAGATTTTGAGGTGATGAAGGTCGTTGGGAAAGGGGCGTTTGGAAAAGTTTATCAGGTCAGAAAGAGAGACACTTGTGAGATATATGCGATGAAGGTTGTGCGTAAAGATAAGATTTTGGAGAAGAATCATGCTGAATATATGAAAGCTGAACGCGATATACTAACAAAGATTAATCACCCCTTTGTCGTTCACCTTCGATACTCTTTCCAGACTAAATATAGACTTTACCTTGTGTTGGATTTTGTAAATGGAGGTCACCTTTTCTTCCAGCTACATCGCCATGGCCTATTTAGGTTCCTTCTCCATCTTCCACTGAATTATTCAGTAAATATATAATCCAACAATTAACCAAACAGTTGGTAATTTGTCGGTTTTCCAGAGAGGATTTGGCACGTATTTATGCTGCAGAGATCGTTTCGGCTGTTTGTCACCTTCATGCAAATGGCATAATGCATAGAGATCTTAAGCCTGAAAATATTCTTCTAGATGCTGATGGCCATGTACGTATTTTAATTTAGTCATCTATATCCTGACCACATTAATTCTTTATAATATCATCACAGCCCATGCATGCATGTGTGTGATTTTCAGGCTTTGCTTACGGATTTTGGGCTAGCAAAAGAATTTGACACGAATGCAAGATCGAATTCGTTATGTGGGACTGTAGAATACATGTCACCTGAAATTATTCTTGGGAAGGGTCATGATAAGGCTGCAGATTGGTGGAGCGTTGGAATTCTGTTGTATGAGATGCTCACAGGCCAGGTATATCTAAGGGTGTTTTGGTAAATTCAATTCGCCAACTTGATAACGGGTCAAACACCTTTGAGTAAAATCTTGTTTTTTTCTTCTTGTAAAGCCACCTTTTCGTGGAGGGAATCGGGAAAAGATTCAACAAAAGATAGTGAAGGAGAAAATGAAGCTACCTGCGTATTTATCAAGCGAAGCACATTCGCTTCTGAAAGCTGTAATTAATCACACTTTTTCTAACATCTGATTCTTCGATCGACATTATTATAAGGTGAAATGGTTTGACTTTTACATCGACCAAATTTGATATGTGTGTAAGTGTCATGTGTGTGTAGTTGTTACAAAAGGATCCAAGCAAGAGACTTGGCAGTGGTACTGCGGTAGGAAGCGATGAAGTAAAACGGCATAAATGGTTCAAGCCCATCAACTGGAAGAAACTGGAGAATCGAGAAATTCAGCCAAGTTTCCGGCCTGAAGTTGCCGGCGACCATTGTGTGGCTAACTTTGACAAATGCTGGACGGACATGCCGCTAACAGAGTCTCCGGCATCCAGTCCTAATGCCTCCACCACCCTCTTCCAGCGGTTTACATTTGTGAAACCTGCAGTCTCGTTTCTTGAGAGTCAGAGTTCAGTAATTCACTACACTGATGTTCGTTAGAATTGGGTTTATCATGAAATTAAGCTGATATAAATATGGTGGCTGACTATAGATCTGTGAACCATCTTGAAAATTTTCAAACAACAGAAAAATAATATTCTTTAGCCAATTTAATATTTTTTGATACGTACAAATTGTGAGATACCATAGTTTTCAATTATGATACAAAAATTTCACTTTTACCATTCATGTTTGTCAAGTTTAAAATGTATAAGATCAATTAAAGTATGATATATTTAAGGCGTGAGATTAAGGGCATCCACAATGCATTGAACGTTCAATGATTTTGACACATTATTTTTCTAAATTCTATACAACTCAATCAATTTTTTCCTACAATGCATTCAACTCTACAAAGTTCAATAGAAAGTTACAAAAGTTAATTAAGTATGTATTTAAGATTAGAAAACTTTCTTTTTTCCTATTGAAGAGTTCAATGGCCATTGAACTCCAAATCCATTGAATGTCAATGTGGCATCTCATTATGGTAGAGTTTCATCTATTGAATGACAACTAGACTTGTCACCTCATTCAACTCTCCCATTGAACTCACCATATTGGATGCTCTAACATGGATTTGGAGAAAAAAAAACATTGATTCAAAGACTTAACAAGATAAACTCATGGGCACCAAAATATGTAAAGTGTAAAATGACTTATTGGAGTTTGCCACAAGATTTAATAAGCAATAACTTATTTAAATAAAAGGGTAAATTGCAAGAAAATTACTATATTATCATAAAATTTTGATTTTTACATTAAGTTATATTTTTTTGTAATTATGTTATTATATTTATAATTTTGTTGCAATATCAGTCAAACGACCTGCTCTCCTGGTAACCACTTTTCCCAAATTGCAATAAAATAATTAAGCATATCAAAATTTTGATTTTAACACCGAGTTTCAAATTGTAAGAAAATTATTATATTACAATAAAAATTTTATTTTGACACCGAGTTTTTTCTTTCTTAATTATGTCATTACATTTACAATTTTGTTGTAAGGTCAACCAATTGACCGATTCAGGAGATATTATTGTGGTTTAAAATCTTGGTTTAGAAGCTCAATTTATACAACACATAAATGAATGTCGGTTTAATTGTTCAAACTCACTTACAAATCAGCGAAAAGGGCATACTCATCCTTTTAGGTGAAACTTTTTATTATAATGTTTAATGCTTAATTCTAGTCAAAGTATATCTTCACAAATGACATCTAAAGGTCAGTCTAGTGGTTCAAACTTACTTAAAAGTCAGTAAGAATGGCGTACTCGCCCTTTTTGGAAATGCTATTATGGTTTAGAAGCTCGATTTGTACAACAAGTAAATGAAAACTCCTACAATGTCGATTCAGGAGATGCTTCGTGAATTTGGCTAGGTTGATTATGAATTCACAGATGGTTTTTGTTCCATCTACGATTTTACCTTTTTTTTTAACTTAAGTTTGACTATGAATTTGGCTAGGTTGATTAAGAATTCGTACTTTTTTTTACTATGAAATCATACAAATAGATATATTTTATATAAAAAGAAGCAAAATATGATTAGCTTATTAGTTATTTCTTTAGAAATTTTGTTTTGGGACCTTGAGAGCGTTTTTCGAACTTGAGAGATGCAAAAATGAGGGTTTTTTAAAAAAAAAAAAGAATTGATACTAGCCTAAGTAAGATCGCAAATGGACTAGGTCAAAATAGAAGTTCATTTGTGAAGGTACAAATTGTACATCATAGATAAAGTTCTGATTTCATAGTTGGCCCATAATCACTTGCAATTTAAGTGACTATTTTGTGTAATTTGTTCATTTTTAACTATTTTTAACCAAGTAATTAGCAAATTTCTCAAAACACAATAAGTTAAATGGCTTATTTTACATAAAAAAAAACAATAAAAACTAAATCGTATACAAATGAGATCATTTTATATTGTTTTCTTTGAACATTATTCTACTTAGTATTTGTTTAAACTGTATTCCAACTTACAAAAATAACCAGTTTTATTAAGACAATAAAAGGGTGAAATTTTTTTACGGCTGAGCTAACATGAGAGAGGTGATGATGCTTTTGATTTGAAAAAAATGACCCAAGACAAGTGCAAGCAGTGGTGTTTACTCGGTCTCCACACATCTCCTGGCTTAAAGGATAAACCATCAGTTAGCCACGCGGCAAAAGTTCATCCTTTTGCTGACGCTACGAATTACAAAATCACCCAATAAACCTTTCAAGAAAACAATCCAACCATGGCTTCTGCTACCATGCTTTCTTCAACAAACCTTAAACTCTATTCCAACTTCATTTGCTTCTCCCCTTCCAAACCCACATTTCCCAACACCATTCTCCCCTTCACAACTCATTTCAGGAGAAACCCATTAAAACTCAACGCATCTTTCAATGAAATCTCCGATGATTTATTAGAAACCACACTTCATTTAGACCAGTTCCCGATTTTCAAATCCGGGTATGCTGAATTTCAGAGAGCTACCGAGGATCTACCTGAGAATGAAAAATGGGGTGTTTTGGTTTTCGCTGGCTTGGTTTGGATTTACTTAACTGCTAGGCCTGGTGTTCTGTTTGGCGCCATCGATACATATCTTCTAGCTCCTGCACAGAAGGTGTTTGATAGTTTGTCTGGCAGAAGGAACTTGAAGCGTTCCGATTTCTTGATCGGAGATAAATTGGGAGAAGGGTCATTTGGCGTTGTTTATTCCGGCGTCGTGGTTCCTAAAAATTTCACCATAGAAGAAAGGGTCAGGAGCATTGGGAGTAAGAGGAGGCAGCTCGAAAAGGATGAAAGGTTTAAAGAAAAAGTCATCCTAAAACAGGTGACAAGTCCGACGTTTTTATCGAAGGAATTCATCATTTCTTTCCTACAATTTTTCATTCAAATTCGATTCTGTGTAATTCATCAGGTAAAAATCGGAGTCGCAGGTGCTATAGAATGTGGCGAATTTGAAGAATGGTTTAACTACAGATTATCACGAGCAGCTCCGGAGACATGCGCAGAGTTTCTCGGGAGCTTCATTTCCGACAAAACTTCTTCACAATTCACAAAGGGAGAGAAATGGCTCGTATGGAAATTTGAGGTAAATCTAAAATCCCATTTACGGATTCAAGTAGTTCAATTCATACGACGATTTAAGTTCATTGGAATCAATTAATGACACACAGGGAGATCGAGACCTTGCTGATTACATGAAAGATCGAATTTTCCCTCTAAATCTGGAATCGCTCATGTTTGGTCGCGTTTTACAAGGACTTGAATCCATAGAACGAAACGCATTGATAATCAAACAGATAATGAGGCAGATAATTTCATCATTGAAGAAAATACACGACACTGGGATTGTTCATCGCGATGTAAAACCAGCGAATTTAGTCGTAACCAAAAAGGGACAAATCAAACTTATAGATTTTGGCGCAGCAACAGATTTAAGAATCGGGAAAAACTATGTACCCAATCGAGGTCTTCTAGATCCAGATTATTGCCCACCAGAACTCTACGTTTTACCAGAAGAAACACCATCGCCACCTCCAGAACCAGTCGCAGCTCTTCTTTCCCCAATTCTATGGCAGGTCTGTGATTATCAATTCAAACATTTTATCTTTCTGAAGCTTTTATGAATGAAATTTAGGGTTCGTTGTGTTGCAGCTAAACAGTCCGGATTTGTTTGATATGTACTCTGCGGGGATTGTGTTGATGCAAATGGCGATACCAAGTTTGAGGTCTAGTGCAGGATTGAAGAACTTTAACCTTGAATTGAAAGTTGTGAATTATGATTTGAAATTGTGGAGGGAAAAGACACGAACTAGACCTGATATAAGTGTTCTTGATCTCGATTCTGGAAGAGGGTGGGATTTGGTTACGAAGCTTATCTCTGAAAGAGGGTCATTGCGTAGAGGTCGTTTATCAGCTTCTGATGCACTCAGGCATCCCTATTTCTTGTTGGGTGGTGATCAAGCTGCTTCTGTGCTTTCCAAGCTCAGTTTATCAAAGTAGAAAACTCAAATTGGTTCCTTGGTTTTCAATCCAAAAAGAGATAGATATTCTTCTCTTACACTTTGATTTTCTGGTAAATTTCTTCGCTTGTGTAAAGCTTTCATGAGTATAATTCATAGTAAGAAGCAAGATGAATGAATCTGTAGGCTTCTTTCACTATTTTATGATACAACCATATATAAGTCAAAAGTTAAAACACTCCCAAAAAATTCATTATCAAATTAATGAAATGAAATAATACTTATAAGAGATTTTATAAATCCTTTATTTGTTACATTTTTATTGTGGAGTTGTTTACTTGAACTAAGAGCCAGCTTTCCTACGGCCGACTCGTGCAACAAAACCAGTCTTGATGGGGGCGACTGACCTCCCAGAACCACACTTTAAACCAAATTCAAACAATATAATTATTAATTAACAAATAAAAAATATATTTTTCTAATGTTTTTTAATGATTATTTAGTTATTTAATTAGTTACCTGTTCACATCTTAGGAAGAAGAGACGATTCTCCTTTGAAAGAATTGTATCCGGGCTTCTGCAGCCATTGCATATCACATATTCGTCTGCAATCACAACCATTATAACGTTTATAATAATATTTATTATGACATTGATAATATGTTTGGAGTGGAAAGAATTTATAACAACAAAGAGCAAGAGTTACTTATGTATCTTCGAAGGATTCCTTCAAAATTCTTGGGAGCAAATCGACCTTTGACCACCAATCTCTGTTGACCATCAAGGGAACCACTTGTTCCCATTTCAGCCAGAAGGAAAGTCATCACATGATCCGGCTGTCTATGCATTCCGGTAAATAAATAAAATGAACCGTAAGACCCTGTTTGTTACACATGACTAGATGGAACTGAACTTAATAGAAAATGTAGCATTGAGTTTGGCATCCATTGGACTGAGATTGGAATTGATAACAACGGTCCCACCAAACAAAATGTGAAGTTAGGTGAGACTGTCATTGTCACCGTAATCATCTAAAAATAGTCTTACACAGTTTGTCAAGTCCTCTCCTCTCTTATCGTGTATTGTGTACTAAAATAGTAAATGTAATGAAAAATACTAAAAAGAAGACGTGCATACGTTCGGCATAGATCCATAAAGTTAACAAAAATGGTCTTTTTTGTGCCTTCTCGAAGAACTTGTGGGGGTCTTATCACTGTCCTTCGTCTATCTCCAGCGAGTTCAGGGTTGTTCTCTCGCAAAATATGAAAAACTCTACTTAAAAGCTACATATATACACAGTTTAACGAATATATCATTAAATTTCAATAACAAACGTGACAAAATAAATAAATAAATGAATGTTAACGTAACATGACACACACACCTCCTCATATAAATAATCTCGGTCGGTTCCTTCCCATGGATATTTTTGCCGTGAATTGTTTGCATCTTCTTCATCCTCACCACCATGCCCTGTATACAACATAATGTTTCTTTTTAATTTTATGGAGACATTATTTAATCTAGTAAGCTTTTTTTTCATTTAATACAAAAGAACAAATTAATAGAGAATGTTAAGGAAGCTCACCCTAACGTTTTATAAATTTTCTTCCATTTGTTTTTATCTTTATATTTTTCTGTATTTTTAAACATCATTTATCCAAAAAAAATGTTTAAGAGAAATTGTGCACCTATAAGGGCACCTCCATCGTTTGTCAAATCGTTTCCCACCTAAGGAAACAAGAATCAACAATTTAGGGGCAACTTTTTTTTTAATTCAAATGGGTTATACTGTCCTTTTTAAAGACATGATACGTAAGTCAATTATACAAATGCATGCTAAGTGGCTAACATAAAAAAATATGAGCTCAAAACTTACTGGTTTTTTCTTCTTCTTTTTCATACCCACAAATGCATTTTCTACTCCATCAGCAACTGCAAGAAACCAAATACCATCTGTTAAACATGAAAAATAAAAGTTTGTTCGATGGTTAGTAAGAGAAATAGACTGACGAGATAGGTTATCTATCTTCTCAGATAAGCGATCATCCTCTGCAATATCTTGGATTACAACCTTTTTCTTCTTCTTTTTCTTTGTGGGATCAAAGGGGGCAATCTGCAAAAATAACTCATTAAAGCAAGTTTCACTGCAAAAAAGTTATGTATAAATATGAACAGTTTTGTCTTACTTCTTCAATATCATCTTTCGATTCAGATGAAGTTTGTTCAGCCATAATCAATTCAACTGAGATATTGTAGTAGATGATGAAACCTAAAAGAATCCACAGATCGAGATCACGTTAGGGGAAAAAGTGAAAATGAAATTGCAATTGTAGGTGTTATAGGAATAGAATATTGATGGGTTTTTTTTCAAGAATAATGATTGGAAATATAACCTGGCTTGAAAGATTTTGAAAAAAAATATGGAGGCTTTCAGTTATGTTCTTATTCTTTGTTTTCCTTTAGATGCAAAAATATTGTGCGAGAGATTGGGATCTTACAATAAGCCAATTCAAGATGTTATTTATAGTTTATGATCACTTTCCATATTTAGAAAACAAGTTTGCAGAAAGAATAAGTGAGTGATTTCTAAACTAATATTATTTTGTTATTTTTTATGATAACTTTTAAAATGTTTATTGGTTTCTTAACTCGTAAAGAAGAACAGTGTTTAGGAGAAAATAGTAGTTATCACAATTTCAAGCATTTACATAATCTATTTTTTTTATAAAATTTAAAGATATAACAATTTCACTGATGTGAAATCATTTATATTATAACTAATTAGATGTATCCCGACATATTGAACATGAAAAATTACATGACTACGGTATTAAGTAATGTTGAAATATGTTGGAGGTCATCTTGAGACAACTAAATAACCTGAAAAGTGTTGAGTTATGGAGCCTAGATGTTCAAATATTTGAATCCGAAAATCCAAAAATCCGATTTGAAAATATCCAAAAAAAATCAGATATCCGAAAATCCGTACTTTTAATTTTTTTTATATAATGTATTTATTCGATGAATATTTAAATAAAACCGACATTGTGATATGTTTACTTTTTAATAAAGTAATGTTTAGATTACTAGTTACACATCACCGTCGTTTCCACTGTTTTTTATTAGGGTAAATTACACGGATGATCCCAATGGTTTGGGGTAATCTGCACGTTTAGTCCCTAACTCTTTTTTTTAACTCGGACGGTCACTATAACATCTTTTTGTTGCATGTTTGGTCCCTGTCTTACCTAAAAAGACTATTTTGCCCTTAATGATTATTTTTATTTTGTTAACTCCTTTTTTATTTACAATTATTATTATATAAATTAAATTAATAATGTATTGTTGGAAAAATAACCAACCCCACATTAATCCTCTTATAGTTCCTGCCACCACCTCCGGTCACCATCTATAGATCTAGTTCCTGACACCAGCTCCAATCCAATCATCGTCTCCGGCCATAGATCCAATCCACAGATTAACACAAATCTAAAATTAAACCTAAAACTCAAATCCAAAACCAAAATAAAACTTGAAACTGAAATCTAAAACCAAACTGAAGCCTACGATGCAAAGCCAAATCCAAAATCAACGATGCAACTAGGGGTGCAAACGAGTCAAGCTACTCGTGAGCTACTCGAGATCGAATCGTTAAAAGCTCGACTCGAGATCGATTTTAAACGAGCTCGAGCTTAATATTAGGCTTGTTTATTAAACGAGCTCGAGCTCAAGCCTCTGTTACATGGCTCGATTAGGCTCACGAGCCTACATATATATAATAAAAAATTAATTTTATTTTTATATATTAAAATAAATAATAATTTAATAAATACCATTTTAAGAAATTAGAGTATACCGTATACGAGCTCGACTCGGCTCGTTTGCAGCCCTAGATGCAACTCAAACTAAAAGCTGGAACCAAAATCCATAATGCAAAAATCACAGATAAAATCACAAATGTGAAAATCCAAAATAGAGTCCCAGATGAAAAATCAGTACATAAACAAACAAACCAAGATTCAGGTGAATCCTCTTTCGTTGGTAGTAGAATAACAACTCGTCGATGCGTTCACAGCTTTATGCCGATCCTCAATCAACTACCAGCCTCCTTTATTTTTCATATATCCAACACCACCAGCAATTGTAGACGTTGACAGGCGCAACAGCGAAGAAGATGATCAGACCAGAAGTGGGTTGCAATATCGGTATTGTAGGCCAAGTACGGGGATGGGCAATGCAGGCTCTGGTAAAGGGAGAAGGTGGATGTGTTGACAGGGGTACGAATCGGTGATACACCTGAAGGGGAAGGAAGGGTTAGTGAGTGAGTTGGTTTCTGAAAATCCACTGTCGCCAGAAACCAAACGATGAACAAAGGATGCAATCAATTCACCACCTGATGCAAATCGATTTCTAGAACCAAATCGATGAAACTGAATTCAAACAGTAAACTAAAATTCCATCTCAAACCAAAATCAAACTCAAATTCGAATTTGAAAATCAAAATCAAACCTAAAACTAAAATAACACTGAGAATCAAACTCGTACTTATTTATTTTGGGACGGAGGGAGTAATTTATATTCGTAATTCTATTCAATTGGATACATAATCATATTTTCCATTTCTTCTCACCGCATAAACAACTTTGATGAAACAAACAAAATGTATAAATGAACAAATAGAACATGAATTAAAGAAAATGTGAATTCCAAGTACAGCCAGACAACATCAAGTCAATAATTTGAAGAATAAAAATAAAAAATGCTCTCAATTTACACAAGAATAGGGTAAATAATAATATATAATAATAATAATAAGACCTCACACTCAAACTCAAACTCTTAATGGGTGAATGTAAGTGTAACTAAGCACCATTGCCAGTTTTCCATGGCTTGAGCACACCAACAACAACTACTGCAATAATAATGAGTAAAATCAAAATAGCAATGCACATCCACTTCCTTGAATTCTTTTGTAGACTCTTTGCTTTGTAAAGGGCTTTGTTTCCATCTTGCACATGGTCTACTGCACTTGACACCTATTTACCAACCATCAATATTACAAAACAAAACACAAAAGGTCAAAATAGTCTTTTCACCTCCACCCCAAAGTTGTATAGCATTCAAGTTGAAGTTGAACAACAATAATAATAATCAACGGTGTGTGACTTTTGATGTGTACTATCTATCATATGTTTGTTCAACTGTTTGTTGGAAGGGCAAAATGGTCAATTACCTGTGTCTCTATATTGTCTAGCATTTCCCCTTGAGCATCCACCAATACAGCCATATCCATAAATATCTGTGCATCAAAGTCAACATTTGTTTATGTAAGTTTTTAGGTCGGACACAATTCTTAATTAGACTAGAATGATATGATATTCTCTAGAAAAGTCATTGTTATTATCATAATTTTAAGCATGTCAGTTGTTGGGGGGTAGTGAGGTCATTTGTGCTTCGTAGACAGCTGTAGAATGATTGTAAAATCATGGAACAGTTCGACATGTCACTAGTTGTACAATGATTAGAAAATCATGGAGCTTCACAACTTTTATCTTCTTATCAATTGCCTCATATTTAATTAACAACAATTTAGCTGTATGTATATTTATATATAAAATATAAATCTGCACCTGTTGCAAGTCAAGAAGCTTCTTTTCTACTTCTTTTACTGCATCATGGCGTTCTTGGATCTCTGCAAGGGTGTCAAGTACCTACAAAATACAAATAAAACATAATCCATCAAATACACAAAAAATTTATCATTTATGTTTTTATAATTATTATTTCTAACCTGTCCTCGCCCTTGTTCCCGAATTGCTTTCTGAAAAATCTGTTCACTATCTCCTGTCTCTATGAGTTGATCGATTGTCTGTAGAAAGTAAGGGATAAAATGAAGTTATAAAAAATATTGGCTTGAAAATTATATTTATATATATAAAAAAAGTGTCACCTCTTCATCTGCCCTGGTTCCCGTTACTGAAAATAGTCATAAAAAAATAATAATAAGTTGGATAAATTAACTTAAAACACACCAAGGATATGATGTTTAGAACCTGTATACACACGCCTCTCAACCACCTCACGATGTTCTTGATGAATACTTTCCCTTAGAGCCTAAAATTAAACCATTTCAGTAAAACCATTAACCATATAATGATATAAAAAAGAATGAAATCTATGGAATATGGATGCAATACCTGAAATTCAGACATTTTGTCTTTAAACTTTTTCTTCAAAGAACTGCAAACAAAGATCATTGTAAACCTAAATATGTAATCTTTTTTTATTTATTAAAATTAGGGTGGAGAGTAAGAACTAAGAACTTACAGTGTAGTTGCTGTTCTTGACCGGTCAACTCCAGTTCCTTTTCCACATCCAGGCTTTTGTCTGTTGGCCAAGTTCTAGTAAATAACAAAAATGATGAATTATTGAATTGTATATTAACAAAAAGTAAGAATTATCAAATAAATAATAACAAAAAGTTGTTTGTAAAAATTAAACTAACCTCTTTGTCAAGTTCCTCAATTTTTGATTTAATAAACCTCGCAATCTTTCCAACTTCATCCACATCTTTCTCCATACGTTGCTTGATTGCTGTAAAATAACAAACATTTAATTAAAATTTATATCAATAATTGAAAAGATTGATATCTTGTTTACATTAGCAAATGGCCATGAACTCATGATTCATATAGAAATAGGAACAACCTTTCATAGCAGCAGCCTTGGTTACAGCCTTGGATTCCTCATGAGCATCTTGTAGTTTTTTGAGTAATTTATTCAGCTTTTCATATTGTTTTTCGATGGATTGAACCTAGAAAAATAAAGTATACAATAAGTTTTATGGTTTACACAAAGAAATTAGACATGTAGAAATAAAAGGATATAAGTATATAACACACCTTCTTGAAAAAATCATCCAACCCTAACTCTGCAGAATTCGAGTTATTTTGTGTTCCCATTTCAAGATCACCATGGCCATAATCTTGACCCCGAGGATTCTCAAATGATTCCTAAAAGACATTATTGGATAAGTATGTTTCAACACTTTAATAGAAAAGGACAGGTGTTATAAGTATAAATTGATAAATACTAAATGAAGATTAGGTAATAAAGGTTTGACATCCAAAGTCAAAGGATCGCAGGTGAAAGAAAACGAAGAAAATAAGCTCAAAGATCCATTTGTAGTTCATATGCCTAATATTACCTAAAAGTAGCTAATACAAGTTTGAAAAATAGCTTTTTTTTTTGTCCTTTTTGTTTAGAATCAGAGGTATAGGTTCAAATTTTCAATCAGACAAATTGATTACAGAGTTGATGCGACTAGAGCGCATAAATGAATTCATAGATTCCAGTTGATTACAAGCTTAAACACCAACATTCGTCACCGATAAATATGAAACTGGAAACAAGATCTAAAAATTAATCTAAGACTTGAAGAAGGTACTGAGAATCTCGATAGCTGTGAACAATGCAGCTTTTGTCGCTCAAAAATTCGAATTTCCCATCACCAAGAAATAAAAAAGGATAAAATTTCTGAAGAGAAACTTACAGATAAAAGATCGTTCATGGTGAGTCGCAGCTAGATCTTCTTCTCAAGACGAGGGATTTTTTGCATGAAACAATCAACTTCGAACAGATACTAGGGTTTCAAGTTTCGACTCCTTTTGAAACAGATTGAGCAATTTTTTAAACAGGAAACACATAAACATAACAATCAAATCAGCAGAAATACAACACACAATTGAGCAATTTATAAACAGGAAACACATAAACATAACGGTATCAAGCAAATCCAAACACATAAAAAGGATCTAACTTCGAACAGATACTAGGGTTTCAAGTTTCGACTCCTTTTGAAACAGATTTGACTCAACCAAAGAAATAAAGTTAAAAAAAAAGTGCATGAAACAATCAGATCTATGAAGTTTAACCAAAAGAGGGAAAAAGTTAGCTGAAATAAAGGGGAAAAAATTTCGAGTTCAATTAGCAGTGAAGAACAAGTAATTTGGAAAATGATTACCTGAAAAAGATGTTGATTTGAAGTTGCGAAGAGATGTTGAAGTCAATGCAGTAGCGCTCAAGCCATAGATTGAAGAAACATCAATTGATTGTTGAAGTAAGAGAGACGAATATGTGTTCATCAGAACGTGGTTGATGTAATAGCAGAGCATACGGTGGCAGATTGTGTAAAATTGCAAAAACAATCCTCCAAGTTATAGCCAATTTTAAAATACGTATTTTTATCAGATAAAATACTAAAAACGTAAGTAATTAGTTCAAAAACTTCCTTTAGTGTATCTCTTATTTTTTGCCACTTTATGTAATATAATATAAAATACTGAAAAATGTTATATAAAATGATAAAACTTGCTGAATCGGAACAATTAAATAATTATTTTTTGATTTAAAAATATATTAATATCTTGATAAAGTAGTTAAATATGTTTTTTTGTAATTTAACCCAAAAGAATCAAGACCATTTTGTTAATGTTAATATTTGTACTTTCATTTGTGAAAATTATAAACGGCAACAACCATTACTCGTCTTTGCTGAGGAAAGATAAACGGTAAAAACATGTTGAGCAAAACACAAAAGCTCGGTATGCCGGGCATTCAGACTGATGTTTGTCGAGTCATATCAGCATGTCGTACCCGTATGACCGAAACACATCAGCATGTCCGGCCCACACATAACCCATTTTTTGAAGGTATGACTTGGGATTTCAAACCCAATAAAATAAGATAAAAACGATTAGCCGATAACAAAAGCCTGTCTTCACGATTTGTCAGCGAGTTTCTCTCCCTCTCTCTATCCTGCTGTTTCGACACACACACTTTCTCTCTCATTGTTGCTTTTCTCTCTTCTTTGAATAAAACCCAAACCCAAAACCTAAACCCAATTTGAATCCCCAAAAAAGGTTAAAGATATAGCAAAAAATCCCTCGTCTTGAGAAGAAGATTTAGCTTCGTCGAATTTGTTAAGCTTCACATCATCCCCATGTCATGCCCAACTTAACCAAACCTTTACTCGTCTTTGTTGAGAAAAGATAAACGGCAAAAACATGTTGAGCAAAACACAAAAGCTCGGTATGTCGGACACTCAGGCTGGTGTTTGTCGAATCATATCAGCATGCCGTACCCGTATGACCGAAACACATCAGCATTTCCGGGCCACACATAACCCATTTTTTTAAGGTATGACTTGGGATTTCAAACCCAATAAAATAAGATAAAAAATAAGATAAAAACGAGCATTAGCCGATAACAAAAGCATGTCTTCACGATCTGTCGCCGAATTTCTCTCCCTCTCTCTATCCTGCTGTTTCGACACACACACTTTCTCTCTCATTGTTGCTTTTCTCTCTTCTTTGAATAAACCCAAACCCAAAACCTAAACCCAATTTGAATCCCCAAAAAGGTTAAAGATACAGCAAAAAATCCCTCGTCTTGAGAAGAAGATCTAGCTTCGACTCACCATGAACGATCTTTTATCTGTAAGTTTCTCTTCAGAAATTCTATCCTTTTTTATTTCTTGGTGATGGGAAATTCGAATTTTTAAGCGACAAAAGTTGCATTGTTCACAGCTATAGAGATTCTCAGTACCTTCTTCAAGTCTTAGATTAATTTTTAGATCTTGTTTCCAGTTTCATATTTATCGTGACGAATGTTGGTGTTTAAGCTTGTAATCAACTAGAATCTATGAATTCATTTATGCTCTCTAGTCGCATGAACTTGTCTGATTGAAATTTTATCCTTTTAAATAGGCTTATGGTACTAAAAAAAACTCAATATCATTGTGAAATAACCTGTAACACCGTAAATTTTCAAAACAAATTTTTCATTTAAAATCACATAATTATCACAACACTTTTTACAAAATCTCATTTATTTAATTGACAATTCGCAACTCCATAATTGTTTGATTAAAATCCAGGATCTTCAAAACATAACTCTTTCACTGGTGTGTACAATCAAGCCGGTGCCTTCCCGCGATCCTGAGAAAAACCTGAAACACATAACACATAACACGGTAAGCATGAAGTTTAGTGAGTTCCTCAAAACACCACATACAACACATTAGCCACTCGAGGCTATAACTCTGTAAGACCCTCCGGTCTATGTGTCTTAGTGGGACCCTCTGGTCCGGTCTCACAGCTCGTTGGACCCTCCGGTCCGGTCTCGGTAACACATAACATAGCATATATATCACACAGACAAAATGCATAACTCAAGTAAGCACATAAGACCCTCTGGTCACACATAAATACCACTCAAGGTAAAGTATAGTGAGAAGACTCACCTTACGAGCAGCAAGCAAAGAACCTCGCACCCGAATCTCGAACTAGCCTCCGCCTATCACAAGGATGAATATCTCTAATTAATACTCTTTTTCACGACTCTAATAACTAAAGGCTATACTTTCTCTCCCTAACACTTGAATTGGGTAAAAGACCATTTTACCCCTCCATGGTCTCCATTACTCATGTTGACCAAACCCTAAAGTCAACAGAAGTCAACTCGAGTCAACAATACATGTTTGACCCGACTCGTCGAATGCACTCTTGCGACTCGTCGAGTCCCCTCGTTTCCTCAGAAGTCTCAAGAAAGTCCAACTCAACTCGTCGAGTTGACCCCCAACTCGCCGGGTTATCGCACAATCAAACCCATCGGGACAAACCCTCACCGACTCATCGAGTCAGGACATGGACTCGGCGAGTCCCTTCAATCAGATTCCTAATTCGGACGATTTAAGGCAGATCTATCACTCCAAACACTAGATCCACCATCCTAAGGGTCGTTTGTTACGTAAAGCTGCAAGCTTTACGTTCAAACATGGCATATAAGACTCATAATGCCAATACATGCTCCAACAAGGGCACCAACACAATAACTCTTTAAGTGACTGAATAAAGCTTGAGCCTTTGGACCCTCTGGACCTCACAAGGTCCAGATCTAAAGTCTAGGCCTAGAAAGGAACTCCATGTACTCATATCTCAACAAAAAGGTGATAGAAAGCCCTAATCATCAAAACATGAGATCTAATCACCACAAGGAGAAAGGTGAGAACTTTTTACCTTCTCTAGAAGCTCTTGGACGAAATAACACTGATCCACTGGCCCCCTTCTTGTTCCTTGATGAATCATTCCCTTCTCTTCAAAAGAAATGTACCAAAAGACCCCAAAATTAGCTCCTTTCACACTCTCTAACTCAAAAGGATGTTAGGGTTTACTCTCAGTGAAGGTGAGCCGCAAATGAGGCTATAAGTTCCCTTTATATAGGCCCCAACCCCGGGAAATTAGGGTTTCTCTGCCCAGCACCTACTCGGCGAGTCAGCTCTCTGACTCGTCGAGTCCAGTCATTAATTCCATGTGGCCAACCCGACCCTACTCGGCGAGTTGGACTCACAACTCGTCGATTCACTCCATAAATCTCAAAGATAAACACACATTAATGCATCTGAAAGTTCGGATGTTACAATTCTCCCCCACTTGACTTAGATTTCGCCCTCGAAATCGCTTCTTCAACGTCACATAGATCGAACCCAACAACCCAAAAAGTACCACCGAAAGGATCTCATATCACACAATTAACTTCCTCCATAGACACCTGAAACCAAACAGGAACTCCCAACCCGGAAGAGGACATACCCTTCTGCCGCTACGATACCCCTTCTGACTCTCCAGAATTCTGAAAACTCTAGTGGCATGTCTCACTGCCAGGCCGCCCTCTCAAGCTATCACCATGTTATTCGCTCCTCGAATAACAGACCCTGAAAACTCATTGCCCCTTTGATTCTCTCGTTGCGACTGCTAGAAACAAGTCAAAGCCCAAAAATTTGCCACCGATCACTTATACCAGACATACTAAGCGATCCATATCATACTCCAAGTAGCGAAAGTATTCACATCTCACCAGGGACTCATCCACTGTACTGCCATCAGAACCCAACTGAACAATGAGCTCTCAACGCTCTATCCTCAGACATAAAAAAAATAATCATGCTCGCTCAGAAGTGTCCTCTTACATCTAAATTCATAAGCCCCAGCTTCCTCTCCAAATATCCCTTTTAACACTGAGTACCAGGTCAACTCCCGACCCCACAGTTGAACCTCCAAAGGTTACCCATTTCATGCCCAAAACGTTTCACTGACTTCCTTCTCACAACAACTATCTCGGCCCATTGTGACACACAAGTCACGAAGTTCTCTCTACTCCAAACGGATACCACAATTCCAGCTAAAATCGTCTCATCCTCGACCTCTGTCGTCTACTACTCATTAGTTACATGCGCCTCGCGGTCCTCCCCATACAAACGAACTGACCCACTCAGGTCTAAGACATCAGATGACACCCAATACTCCTCAAAATGAAACCCATCTCTGAATCGAGAATCTCATTCGCCTGCTCAATTCACCACCCAAGCCAAACTCAAACTCAAGTGTCTGATCTGACACAGAATTGGGAACCACTCGTCCCAATAAAGCACTTCAACTCATGACCCATGACCCGCAACCCACGCGTACACCAGTCTCACCCCTGGTTCAACCACCAGGATCCTATAGACTCGAATGATGAGGCTACTCAAGCCTAGGAACTCCCCTGAGTCATGCCCTGACTAGTGAATACTATGGCTCCCCGTAGATTCACAACGCTTCTCGCTCGCTGCTTGGTGAATACTACGGCTCCCCGCAGTATCACCACACCCTCTCGCTGACTGGTGAATACTACAGCTCCCTGCAGTATCACAACACCCTCTCACTGACTGGTGAATACTACGGCTCCCCGCAGTATCACAACACCCTCTCGTTGACTGGCGAATACTACGACTCCCTGCAGTATCACAACACCCTCTCGTTGACTCATGGATGCTACAGCTCCCCGTAGACTTACAACACTTTCTCTTATCACCCCACAATCTCATCCTCACGTCGACACCCCACTGGGTTCACTAACTCATGCTTCGCGGACCAACATAGATAGGTGCACACACTTACCCAAAGTATGCATCACTATTCCTGACGACAACCGTCATAACAAAACACTTTTCCTCGCTGCAATCCACATTCTTAAATAATCTTTTGCTTGATGTCAATTAGCCGAAGGGCTCCCACTGGAACCGTAGATACGTGATGCGCCGCTTGCCATATCATAACCCAACTCTCAAAATAATCCGAAATTCAAGGCATTATACTCGGATACCTCGGTACCCCATC